TAATTACTTCTCTAGATCATATTAATAAGCAATTTTATAGATAGGAGATTTAAAAACTGTTTAGACAACTTTTTAATATTGTTTGATGAGATCATGAAAAATTCCAAAGCTTAAAGGCGGTTTTATGATCTATGTAGTGTTGAACGTACTTGAGAATATTGCACTCTCATTGGCAATTCTTATCTCGCGTCACTGACGGACGTAAATGTTTCTTAGTTAACTCATTATGGAAACTCTTTCTCGTAATTATCAATAAAGTATCAATACAATGCCACTATTAGTGTTTTTTCATGACTCCTTGTATAAACGAACATAAATATGGATATAGCTCTTGTGATGGAATTGATTGAAAAATAACAGGTAATTGGTTATTATGTTGGGTTTTTTTTTGTTCCTTCAGTCTTTACCTAGCACGCAATTAAAAAGATAATCAACAACATAAATAATCGAAATTCGTACTGTTTCCCTTGGAGTATTTCGCTATTTCCGTGATAAATTTCTCAATCAATATCCTAGGGATCAATGGATAGAGAGATTTTAGCAATACCCAAATGTCGAAGACCGATACATTGTCCTATCCCTATGCTTTCAACCGAGGTTCGTACAGTTTTACTTGAAATATTCCCCTTTTACATTAATAAATGTCTCAATAAATCGCCAAGGAATCAGTGGATAGAGAAATGCGAGAGACACTGAAATTTCAAAAGCCGATATATCAGCTTATGTCTTTGTTTTCTTTCCTTCGAGATCCGATGGAAAGAAAACAAAGGATGAAAAATGTTCTTCATTGCTGAATCAACATCTTAACAAATCGGCTAGTTGATCGAAAAATCGGAATAATATCGGTAACAGTTATCACGAAACTCATCGAAAGAATAACTTAACATTAATAAATATTGTATATTATTAAGTTTATACTAGTAGATTCTCAACATTTCACGTGAAAACCTTTTTAGAAAGTTATATATATGTAATATACAGTAGTTCAACTAACAATATAGAAAGTCCTGTACAGAGGAGTATGGATAAAGTGAAGGGATCTCTCGGCTATATCCTTATAGCTTCTAACCCTTATTTCTCCGTTAGTTATCAATCAATTTTCTTGATTCATTATATTAAATTATTCGAAAATGTGAAATGGTTAATTATTTCAAATAAAAAAAATTAAATGTACTTAAGAGTAAGAAATATTGAAAATTGGGCATCTTAACCCTGTTAGAGAACATCAATGAAAATATGACCTATGTTACATTAAAAACCGCTTAATTTTACACTGATGTAATGAATTTAAGCAAAATTGTTCGAGCCGTTTTCGAGAAAATAGCAAAAATGTATATAATCGAAGATATAAAGTAACACTTCTGGTTGGTGGATTTAAACAAAAAAGTAGCTGTAATATCCCAAGCATGAACAAACCTTACTAGGAAATTTTGCTTCCATACAACTTACCGTTATTGAACTGGACTGTTCACACACATACCAGGCCCACTCTGGCTCTGTTTTTACAGGCGTTCAGAAAAGGGTTCCCAATCATTCTACAGCGATAAAAAAGTACAAACCATTTATGTTGAGGGCCCATTGGAGAGACCCCAAAAGTTTGCAATAAACGAATACAAAACAATTATTTTGGGGGCAAACATACCCATACCATGGTAGTAGATAAATTCAAAATAACAGTCTTCCAGTCTTCCAAAGGAGCCCTCCCAATCATTCTATGGCGATAAAAATGTACAAAATATTATCATGTAGAGATGGTTAACCGATGATATAATATGAGAAGGAGTTAATTGGGAGAACCGCACCCCCCAATTAACTCCTTCTCATACAAAATATTATGTTGGGGTCCCATCGGAGAGACCCAAGAAATTTGTGAAAATAAACGAATTCAAAACAATTATTTTTGTGGCAAAACATGTAACAGTACTACATATATACAATATAATGATCTATGGACCCTTGAAGATCCCCTATCATTATACAACTTTAAAAAAAATACAAAACATTCTTGTTGTGTACACATTGAAGGGGCCCCAAAAATTTGTGGAAATAAATTAATAAAAAACAATTATTTTTGGGATATTACAAAAATACAAAACAATTATTTTGGAGGCCCTAAGAGAGGGTTCCTAATAATTTTATGGCAATAAAAAAGTAAAAAAAACCCATAAATTTGGGGCACATCAGAGGAGCCACAAGAAAATTCAGAAACAAACGAATTCAAAGCAATTCTGTTTGGGGTCAAACACACACATACCACGGCACTATATTGTGATATATCATAAGGGCTACATTTAAAGATTTCATATAAATAAATAGAAAAGAGTAGAATAATAGTCCAGTACATGTCAGGTAACCCTGGGTCAATTTACCTGGACAATCTTAGCAACCCCAGGGGAAAGAGAAGGGAGCAATACACACTAAGGGACAGACTCCAGCACAACACACACACCTGCTTGAAACCCTAAGGCATTTTTACAGAAGGTAAACAGATAGCTGACAGATAGAAGGGGTCAAAACAAGCCTACACAAAAGCAATTTCTAGAAATATGAAACGGTCGTACAGCCTTAAGGCATGGTCATCCTGTCTGCATCGAAAAATTCCGCCAATAGGAAGAAACTTAGAAAAGGAAGTGAAAAACAAAGGTCTGGGACGAGGAAGAGTTGGAGAGAAGTCAGCTTGGAATCATGAAGAGAAATAGTCAGTATAGGAACAGAGAGTGAGTCTAGGACAACAGTCAGCTTGGAGACCAGAGAGATCCATAGGAGAGACAACCTGAGATACCAGTGACACCCCACACCATGAAGAACCAGATAAATCATAACATCCATTTAAATATACTTATGTAAGCTTGTCATTGTCATTGTAAGCTTGTCAGCTGGAAATCAATAACTATAATAGAATCAATAACTTATTAGTAACTTAAATCAGAATTCGTACTAGCATTTCCATTAGTGATTGTACATATTTATTTAGTTTTGGATTAAAATTATAAATAGATTTTTTGTTCAAATTTGTATTCTTTAACAATCTTCCTAGCATACCACTTTAATACCATACCATTAATAGCATAATACCATATAATTAATAGCATACCATTAAATTCATAAACATAACACCTTCTTATAAGATATTAAATGAAAATTATATTATTCAATATAGGATAATATAGTCTGTGGCATCTACATTTAAATACACCATTCATATATTTTTAAGTAGATCGGTTCCTTTCTTGAGCCGATAGAAATACGAATATAAATATTAAATACATTCAAAAGAAATAAATACCGGTTCCTGGAACCTCCAACAAGCTGTAGCTTGATGTGCAGGAATATAGCAACATAAATAAAAAATGCAGTATTCGGCACTTTCAAAGGAGACCCCTAATCATTCCACAGCTATAAAAAAAATACAAAAACATTTATGTTGGGGACATATCAAAGGGCTCCCAAAAATTTGCTGAAATAAATCATTACAAAACAATTATTTTGGAGGCCATAAGAGGGGGCTCCTAATCATTTTACGGCGATAATAAAGTAAAAACTTTGGTGCGTCCACTCACACGATTTTCCTACCTATTTCAGAAAGTTTTAATATCTTTACAAATATCCATTAAGAAACAAAAACAAATTGAATTAGATTTATTTTTCTGAAAATTGATCAAAGAAAAGATTTGAGCAAGATTTATTTGACAAACTAAAGCAATGTAAACCGGCTTAAGGGTGTAAAAATTTTAATACCCTCTAACATTGCTGTTTCTGTTAAAAGTAGAGGAAGTAGTGAAGCTTGTGTGATGCGGGCAACAGATTTTCTTACTTTTACTTAGTTATCTTTTTCCACTCATTCCCCCCTTTCTGACACCAAGCAAGATATGAACCCATAATCTTAAATTGGAAATTGAATATCTGTAACTTCGTTAATAGTTGTCCGGAATGAATGATTTTTATACAGTTTTGTGGGAAATTTCATTACCTTTCAAAAAAATAGGCTAAAATTATTTTTTTTAAATAAAAAAGAATCAAAAAATCAGTTCAGTAGTTCCAGAGAAAATCTTGGCAAAGACAGACAGACCAATGGCTAAAAATGTGTTCTTCGAAATCAGGGGGCTCTGAAACCACACATCGAAATTTTACCCGATTGCATTTTTTCCTTACCTAGTATAAGTAGGAAAGTAAAAACATATATGAGAAGGAGTTAATAATGAGGAGGTAATTGAAACATTGGCAAAAATTAAATAATTACTATATTTTAATTTAGGATTTATTTGACCGCACCCCTCAATTAACTCCTTCTCATATTATATCAATGGTCAACCATCTCTACATCATTAAAAACATATTCGAGACCCTCAGATGGGTGTCAGAAATAAGCAAATACAAAACAATAATTTTGGGCGCCAAATATATCACAGTACTAAAAAAATACAAAATAATGATATTTTTGGTACTTAGGGGACCCCGCAATGATTCTATGGCTATAAAAAAAGTGTATAATTATTTCGTTGATGTCCAATCACAGGGAATCCAAAAATATGCGAAATAAAGGAATTCAAAACAATTACTTTAGTGGGCAAACATAATGTGTATTTTCATTGAAAACTCACGACTCGAAAATTTTCATGATCCCAATACTTTCCTTCCCTTGCTATATATTACATATATAGGTAAGTGAAAGTAAAAAAATCATACTAACGCTATAGTTAACAGCTTCAAGACCTCTTATCCCCTGGACTTCATTCAATGATTTATTATATATACCATATTCTGCAGAATAATAATTAGTTCTGACAGTTTATGGCCAATTCCAAGAACTAATTTCATTATCATCAATTATTAATAACATATTTATGTTAACTTTTATTGACTTATTGATTGATATAAATTATTGTAAACAGTATTGTTTATATTAACTAATATAAATTATAAAGTGGACAATTCTTAACACAAAATTTAAAAATTCAGAGCAAAACTATAAATGGTTAGGGTACAAAAGAAACAAAATCAATAATGGTCAATGATATAATAAAAGTTACAGCAGTTTATTCAGTATAAATATCATATAAATTTAAAAAAATGGATTACATACAAAATACAACATGCACACATACATACAATAACAGATTTCATATCGTGTTCAGTCACATACTTAAAAACTATATCATGATCAATCAGGTAACCAGCACCATTGTCACAGTAGTACTAGTTACAAAAAAATAATTCTTAATGTGGAATGGATTCTTATATTTAACAGTAAAAGTTTTCAATGTTGGGCTAAATAAACCCAAAAGTGCAAAATCCAGTACTTGTCTACTATAGATCCTCTTCCACTCATAACAAGGAGATAATATAAAAGTCATCTGTATTTTCATACCACAGAAGTTATAAAACACTGAAAAAAATGCTATTACAATTTCACTATACTACATATATATGAGCCTTATAAGACTAAGACCATTGATATCATATTAATTAATGAATGAAGGTGTTACGTCTATCAGCAAAATTTAACCAATCAAGCAATATCTTAGCCAAATTAACAAGAGGAAATGTGACCTATATTAAATGATAATTTTTTGTTTGTTTTGAAAGCCAGTAAAACAACCCTTAAAGAATCTTGGGTGCATTACTTGATATGAAATATTGTTTCATGAACTACAGTTAGCAGACAAGGATGTCATGGCATCTACATTCAAGGCTATCAACCAGCCTATTTCTCTTAGCCAATTAAGAAGTCAGGTCCTCACTTCATAGGCAATTATCAGGAGGTCCTTAAAGTCAAACAACTGATAAAAAATAAATTAGATTATACTAAAACTACAAACAAGAGTTGAAAGCCAAGTGGTTTACTAAATATCATATTTTTTAGTTAGTTTATAAATCTTATTAATGTAATCAAAGAAACTTTTGTGTGCCAGTTCGAAAGTGCTAGGCATGCTGTTTGGAGACCCCTGAACTAAACCCACAGTATTCAATACTGATACAGGATAATGCCTGAAAATACGTTAGTATAAAATATTATACCATTTATAATAACTATTGTCAACGTGAGTTTTTTTTTATTATTCAAACACTAATTTTTTTATTTATAATAAATTTTAAGAAGGGGGTTACAAGAAAAGAACCAAAAATGATAAAAGGACAACATTAAACAATTTGAAAAGATAAAACACCTTCATTCAACAAAAGATCAAATACTAATAATAAAATATATTTTATTTTCAAGATTTATTAATTTAAAAACTAATATTTGTGCATTTCTTAAAAGGACTAAAATGTTTAAGATGGTAAAGCTATATATCAACACTGGATATTGTCTCAAGGTAACTTGTTTATGGCACAGAGTGCAACTGATTGAAATAGACTGTATAACTATGCCATATTTAATATTAAATCTATAATTATCGTCAATGGAATAAAATCAGTTTCACAAGAATAAATATGACTATATATTTCTATATATATCTATTAAAAACAATAAAATTTTATAGTCAATATTTAAAGTAATGTTAATGTAAGCGCAGTCTGAAGCCATTCCACTTTTCAGAGATAAATAAAAATATACGCTAAAGCTTGTAATATATTAAATAGATACATCCTATGTAATATCTTCAATAACCTGTTATCAATAAATACTTAATTTAAAACATGAGCATTTTTTTAATTAATCACAAATATATAATCAATTTGGTTGAAGTTTGGTTTTAACAACAGATAAAAATTAAACAGACCGATGATAATAAAATATTTACAAGTTTATGACACATGATCATAACTCATGACTAGAAAAGATTACAAAGCAAATGTTTTCCATATGTTGAAATGTCGTTTAAATAATAACAAAAATATTTAAAATATCTCATTCACTCAGTTCATGGTACAAATGGTTTCACTTAGTTATCAACATATGAACATCACCAAAAACACAATATATATTATTTTCTTCTATTTATATATTTTAATCTTAATTCACAGAAGCTTTAAATGACCTATTGCATTTTTTATTCAAAAAGGCAACAGGTATGTGCGTTCAAGATAGGTAATTATATATAAATCTTAATAAATATGCATATACATTCATATATGTATATACAAATATAGCTTGTTATTTTAATATAAATAAAAATATTTATATATTGATAACAAATAATGGGTTTAGGTACTCAGAGTATTTGGTTAAAATCAATAATAAAATAAAAAGATTGTGCCTAAAATTGAAGAAATCGAACTTATCCAAAAGATAGTATAACTAATTAAATAAAAATCAGATGGCGATAGAGAGGCAGTCAGGTTTCGACGCAGTGTAAAAAAAAAATCCATTCCCAAGTGAAGTCTTCCTTCATTCATTCATTCTGAAATTATAGGAATAGTCAGAGTTATAAATCAATCAATATTAAAATAAGCAATTACCTTTAGATATTACCTACTTACATGGAGAACTTCTAATAACTGAACATTTTTCAGATATAAATTTTATTTTTTAAGTCTTAAAAGAAAAGTATTTAATAAGTTCAGAATTTCGAAGACCAGAACTTTAATATGATTGTTTCAAATAATTTTTTGGAGAAAAAAAAATTAATACAATATATAGTTGGAGTTGGGTGAGTGTATGGTCACAGATAAAATTACATTTTACAATTTTTATTTATTATGTGTCAGGGAATAGTGTTACGATTACAACTTATTTAAATGTTTCAGCCTATGTTTTAGGCCTTTATCGGGGCTAGTTCTATTCTTCAGATCAGTTAGTAAAATATGATTTATTCTGATAAATTAAATAAGTTAATAATAATATATAATATAAATATCATCATCATACATGATCTTTTTTAACCAATTATAAAGGGTGAGGCAAGAGTTGATAGAGCCCTCTCAGACTTCCAATAGATGTTTTTTCGTGTTCCATTGCAGTCTTCTTTTCAGAAAATGTGTTCTTAATTCATCTTCCCACTTATCTCTAGGTTGTTCTTTCCTTTTCCCATATACTATGGCTCGATAAGCCTTTCTAGCAATTCTACTAGATTTCATCCATAAAAAGACATCAGTCAATTCTTTTCTATTACACAATCGGCTAAATATTGAGATTTAATCTGATGGTGGTGTAATGAACTCATTCTCTTCTTTTTTATCATCAATATTTGGAAGAAATGGAGAAAGGAATTAAGTCAGTTAATTGTCATGGCTTCTAGCAACATAGCATACAATTCAAGGCACTTTTCATAAATTTATTGAATATGTTCATTTTTTTTTTATTATATAGTTATTTTGGGACCCCAACTTAGCATTATATTACGGAGGAAACTTCTTAGGGCAATATATGCTTTGTTAGCCCACATAATCCGATTTAGAATTTCCTCCTCTTCCTTCATCTGATCATTTACTATGGAACCAAGATACTTAAAACTGGTCATGCACTGGAATATTTACTTTTCCACTACACAATGCTTCGGTGGGTTCATAGGCGTTTTCTTCTTAAGCACCGTATCAGAAGTGAAATCTATTTTCATGCCAAAAGAAGGGCCGGCAGCAATAGTGCGTTCAAAATCTTCATAGAAAAGGTCCTTTTCATCCTCTTCTTTTTCTTTTGTTGGTGCATGCACATTTATCAGAATAATATTAAACTTTGTTGTCCTCTGAATCCTTAATTTGTATAACTATTTATTTATTGGTTGAAAATCAAGGACTGCTTTTCTCATTCTATTTGACACCAAAGCTGTACCAAACTCATGTCTATCTTGGTTTCCACTGTAAAAGATATCGAAATCCCTTCCACTTTGCTTTCCAAAGCCGATCCAACGTATTTCCTAAATCGCACTTATATCGAAGTTGTAGCATTTGAGTTTTCAGTTCTGTGAATAGTCCAGGTCTATAAAGCGATCTTATATTCAATGTTCCAATCTTATAAGAAATAATATGAATACCAGGTCCTTTACATAAATCCATCCAAAATCTGAGGCTAGACTGTTGAGAATTACTAAATTAATTTTTTTTTATATAAATGGTGGGTAGTCAGCCCCCTTCAAATCTCCTCTTTCAGCTGGGCTTAGGAACGGCTCTGGTTTCCACGAAGCGATTCCTATAGACAGAATTCTAATAATGATAAGTTGTTCTCAAACTTCCTGGACTGAGGGTTCATCACTTTTACAAAAATAAACAATACAGCAGAAGAGGCTTGAAAGAATGGACTAAATACATAAGTTATTTTACTATTTTATAACATCTTTAGTTCACTTATTAGGCAAGAGGAGCGAGTCATATAACAATTACATTAATAACATTTTCTACACTTGCTGCCAAGGATTAATTAAGAAATAGAATTATTAAACTAAAACTTCCTATTGACTGGATGTTCTTCATCCAAAATTTGTGATATTTCCTGAAACTGAAAATTTAAGCAGAATTCAAGATCTTCAAGGATGGACATTCTCCTGATGTCATGTGTTCCTATAGATGAAATCGGACATAAATAAATTGATGGCTCAACAATGAATAATGAGTCTGGAGCTCTCCATCTCACCTTTATATCTTCAGCAACAGCTGTCCAATTTCTGATGTATAGGAAAGTCCTCTATCAGTGATCATTCTCTTCAGCCACATAAGTTGGAGTCCTCCAATTTTCCTGGTTTGATTAAGTTCTTTAATCATTAACTTTTTTGGAGACTCATTAATCACCCCAGACACATAATGAACCAAACAGAATCTACAGATGTCCATCATATGTCTTCCTTCCCTCACTGATTCAAAACCTCCTCATATTATACCATAGAATACCATTCTATTAAAAAGAAGAAGCTTTGTTTTATTAGGCTTTCTAATTACCCACTCGTGAGATTCTTAAGTGAGAATGAGTCACAGTAGTGTATTTTAGATATGGATTTTGGTCTTGTTCGATAGTAATGTTCTCTGTTATCTTCTCAGATAGACAATATAATTCACTCGTTCGAATTTGTTAGAACAAATTTCTAGCAGGGTTTGTTTTGTCACCAGCTCACATGTATTTATTTGGTTTTTGGCATTCATTACCAACCCGAATTCTATGGCCAACCTTTTAAAAGCTATTTGGCTTACAATATAAAAATTGTCTGTACATTCTAGAATCTTGACTAGTCTGGCGAAAATAGTACCACCTGTTTGTATTCCTGGAAAGATATAAGTAAACTAGTAGAGAACATCCCATAGTACAGTGCTTTTTACAAGGACAAAGATGTTTACATGCATTTTTACTGTTTGTATGAGGTTCTTTATACTTCATTAGTTTAATTTCATATTTTATTTACCTCTGCTATTGCCCATATTAACAGAATCTTATTACAGTTTCAGACTACAAAAATTATCACAGGTATAATAAACATGAAAAAATGATTTATATGACGTTTTGCACTACCAGTAGCCATATAAAATGGTATTATATAATTTTGTCACCAGAAATAAACAAATAGATATATTTACTACCTGTATTATTCTAAAAATCATTTTCCAGAAAACGAATCAATTAATCAAGTTTATAGTTGTTTTTTTTTTTAGTATATAAATCAATTTTAATTTACCTTAACATTTCTTTTAAAGTTGAAAGCCATCAAATCCTAATTATTGTATGATCTTAAATGATGGAAGGAGGAAGATTTTAGATAATTTAGTATGCAGATTTCAAAAGGTTGGTTTGTCATTCATTTGATGTCAATAAAACAAATTCTTAACATAAAGTAAAAGTGGAAATGATTCAACTTTTTTTTTTATTTATACGAAAATTGGAAAACTAAAAAACCTATTGACAACTCCAAAATCTTTGATGCTTAAAAATAATTTTTAACTGTCTTATAGTAAAAATGGAATGGTAACTTAGAAATTAATATATATATATATATATATATATATATATATATATATATATAGATATATATATTATATGAGAGGTAATGGAAGTTATACCATATTTTAATCTCTTTTCAATACAGAATCAACCCTTCAATTTTTAAATTCAATATTAGTAATGATCAGATACATCGGTTAACAAAATATTCTTTTACAAAACTTCCATGTAAAGTAAATAAGTCATTATGATATGTAAGTGAGCTAATGAAAAGGAGACATTGAATATTCATGAGCTAATGAATAACTTCATTAAGCATAAAATTAATATATAATCATGAATTATTAGCAATTACTATGTAAAATTAAATGTTACCCATTCAACTGCATCTACACCTTCCATATTATCTTGCTCTAATTTCATATTGATTTCCACGCGGCTACTGACTGACTTTTGGATCTGTCGAAAAGAAAAAAATATTTTAAACATGATTATCAATTACAAACCATAATAGAAGTATATAACATGTACCATAGGTAATACATGTACCTACCTGTTCTTGTTTCTGTTTTATTGAAGAATCAGTCCATGAATTTCTAGGTAAATGTGCAGGTTTATTGGGTATTTCCTTAGCAGGGTTTGCATTGTTAGGCTGAGACACAGGAGCACCCTGGGCTTCAGATACTGAAAAAAATAAATATACCTGTTAACGCCGCATACTTGCAGATCTATATTTTTTTCTCTCATCATATTTCCCTTTTAAATGTTAATGAAGAAAATGTTTATTTATTTTTTTTGTAAAAATTGAGGGACAATTGTCTCAGAAATATATTTGTGTTTGTTTATCTGCCTTCGTTTGCGATGTATTATCGCTCATTTGTATACACACCAGCCCGGCAGTAATACCCAGTCTTAGGGATTAAGACACAAATAATGGCATAATACTGTCGGGATGCAGTCTTAAGCCAGTCTGGAGATAGCTCTTGTCGACATTGGACCCATGTAGTGGAAGTCTACCCCCACCAATCTCACCAAGCTCCAGGCCATCTGATCTCGCAACATCTCACCTAGCACCATTTTCGAGGATCAGCTGTAGGGCGCAGCTGAGTAATCGATACATATCGATACGACCCCACCATCGATTACTCGACAGCTGGAGATCAGAAGGTAACAGGTTGGAGGCAGAACCTCCAACTAGGCTTGTTGTGTTTTTTATTCTCACCAAGACATTTGAACATTTAGTTAACTGTTTTCTTCCCTAAATTTGTTTTATTCTTTTGGGAATTCTCTTGTTTTATTTACAATTTTAGAAATTGATTTTTTTCCTTTATTGATAATGGTTAATTTCTTTTATTTTCTCTGGATGTTGTATTTATGTTTTATTTTTCTCGTAGCTTTTAAGTATTGTTTATCTCAACTTTTATATAAATTTATATCTCTTTTTCTTTCTCAATAAATTCTAAACATTCAAAAGGGGATTTTTTTTATTTTCCATTTTTTTATTTATTGAAATATCTCTATTTTTTTAAATATTTTCTTGTGCATGTATTTTTTTTTTTTCTCTAATGTTTTATAGGTCTCATTATTCACTCATTTTTTTTCTCCTTCTTTCCCAACGTTTTTTAATTTTTCTCGAATTTTCCCACCATTGAGGAAACGCACCGGGGAAAGATCTGTACTTCGATTTTGAAGTACCCCTGGCCCCAACAATACCAATTCATAAAATCTAAGTGTTTTTTTTTCTTTTTTTATAGTTCAGATTAATAAATTAAAAAAAAAAGGAAACCTCCAACTAGTATCATTCTAAAACTTTATAGCATTCATACTCAAATATAATACATTTATTACATATCATGTTTTCCAAGAATTCTATATAGCTTAGGTTAACATTCATTACTATCAAAAACGATGCAGAGAATTGTTGTTCATTTAACCAGTAGTTTAGAGAAAAAAATACCTTAAAAGAGCTTTATTTTTTATATTTGAGGAAAGAAGTTCAGAAACAAATTATGCAAAACGAAAGTAATTTTAATAAATAAGATATGTATATCCTATAGGACAAGGATTTCCAATATAAAGCTCACGGACACCAGAGCAAACTTTTGCCCATCTATGCCTAACCTAACATTTACTTAATGATCACCCAGGAAACAGTTTTACTCGTCTATTGTGAGTTCTTATTTTCATAATATATTAAATATTTATTTCAGTAATCTCTAAAAATTAATTGTAAGAATGAGCGATTACTTGGAAAATAATAATCTATTTTGTATTTGTTTTCTATTGTTTTAATGTAATTATAGTGTTTATATTATATTTCCTTTTGTAGTTACATTTTCTTTTGAATGTAATAAATAGAAATCTTCCTGAAATTCACATTGGATAAAGCCAGGGTACCTGCCACCTAACACATAACCTGTAAATGTGCCTGCAAGTAAAAAAAGGTTGGGGACCCTCAAAACTGTTTCTACATCTCAAAGGTATTCTACGGATTCCAAGATCTAAAAACGAAATAGTCGAGGCAATCAAGTGCTCCTCCTCGGCCAGGCAGTGAGTCAGTGATCAAAATAAATGGTAGTCAGAAGGAGCAATGTCAGATAACTAAGATTTAACTGGATTTGCAAAATGAGGTCGAAAATTATCACTCCTGTGATGGTTTCAGGTCTTTTTTTTTTGTGAGGGAGAGGGGGGTGAATCCTGGATGGTAGTCATCTCTGAGATCAAAATTATTGTTTTAAAAGCATTGAAACCATTCTCTACATATTCTTTCTGATAGAGCATGGGTACTTGTGGGCGGGGTGGCCGAATGGGCTAACGCGTGTGCACAGTACCGCCGTTGCCCGGCAACCTGATATAAGATTAATGATATAAAAATAGTAACGAGATCGCGTTCCGGTGCCAAGGCATCTTTTAAATCCCCGCCCACACCCTCTGGCCCGGGAAAACCCCTTATAGCCTTAACGGCGAGGACCCAAAAAAAAAGAAAAGAAGAACATGGTTACTGTAAGTTTTAACAAGAATTCTATTTCCTTCAGTTGCACTTTTCTTTTGTAAAAAAAAATAATAGAATAAAATTTCTCACAAAAACAGTTTTGAGGGTACGAAATTCTCTAGATTTGAAGAGATACTAACAACGTTGTATACAATTTGAGAATTTAAAATTGACTGAAAACGCAAGTACAGAGAATTAGCTCTTGAATAAAGTTGGTCTCAGTGTTGTCAGCCAGATGCATGTTGGTAAACAAAAATTCTCTAGATAACAAACGGCGGATACTTATTAACGCACCCAATAAAACAAAAATATACAAAATTAACTTAAGATTAGGTTTTAATATGCTCGAAATGGATTTCAACTGTATAGAAGCCTACCCAGTAATAAAAAAAATTCTCAAAACTTAATGTTAGTCATAACTTATAATCAATTCTCATAAATACATAGTTTTATCAAATAAAAATAAAATGTATAAATTTAACTAACAGCAATCCATATCTGGAGGCTTGAGACTTATCCTCTGCTGTTGTTTGTTCATTCCTGACAACCATTCAGGACTGGTCATAGTTGGTTCCCAAGTCACCTTAGTATCTGGGAAGAGATCATCTTGGAACAAATCACTCTGTAATATAAAAATATTATAAGTTTGGGACAGGTAAACCTAAAGAACCATGAATCTTATTAATATAGTAGCACGGATTAGTTTATTGTGACAAATAAACTCTACATTTATTTTAACTAATTGAGTGATGATTTCTACTCTCTTAAAAACTTCCCATTAAAAAAAAAAATGTAAATTTAAGGTGGTTGATTAACCCTTTTAGTGCCATACATATTTTACCAATATACGCTAAAAATGCCAGTAAAAAAGTGCATTTTTTTAGGTAATTTATACGAACAAGAAAAATATTCACCATTTCCGTTACAATACACCAATATTCATAATTTTTTCAACATTCACTTCAGAAGATTTTATACTATGATAATAAAAACACAGAAATTGAATACTACATATTTAGTGACAAGAAAATTACAGAAAGTGTATGGAAAATGAACAAGATTTTTCTACAAACGTGTTGTCCTACGCAAACACCGTACAGTCCTTTTTTACACATGGAGCAAATCAAGTTGGATCTTTTCACTGCACTTCTGTTCTTACTGCTGCATACCACACATCGTCGTAAATTTGGTCCTGGCAATTTTTCCAAGCCAAAAATCGGTTTCGACGAAATATGTGATTCAGCTTTATTTTTTCCATCTAGCCATTTTTTTCTCTAGAACATTTATAACACTGGAAGTAAATTCCAGCCTGGTCATTTTCTTATTATTAGAATTATGCTGATAATGAGTTTGTTTTGCATCAAGGGGGATTTGATGGTAGTTCCACAAATTGCGTATTTGATTGGGTCGTATTTTCAAGGTCATCCACACTATCGCTACTGTCACTAATAATACGCAACCTCCGATTGGCAGGAACCACAATATCACTTTCGCTATCGCTCTCATAATCACTAACGCAGTTTTCAACTTGTTTTTATCATTTCAACGGCTGTATCTGAAAATACACTTGTGTCCGACATTTTGAAATCAAAATTAGAAATATTAAAAAAATAATAATCACGATTTTATATAAAAAATATGCCATCGAGGATAGTTAGAATGCAATATAATAAAACTAACACGGCTGTCACCTGCGGACGCCAAAAGTGAACTGTCAAAAGGAGTGCTATCGCAATGCTGGCATTTTTCACAACTAGCTAGAGCGACGGCACTGCTTGGCACTAAAATGGTTAAATAGAAGTTAAAAATAAAATATTCTGTGAACTTAAAAAATATCAAGTTATAATATATATCATTTTAGTAACTGAAAACAAAATCCCATAGCATTGAATTATTTAATGATTTGTTATATTTTTGCTTACTTTATAGATCTTATTTATGGCAAAACATGGCAAGAAAACAACCACTTATGTTTGCAGACAAACTAAGCCTCAACTGTCTGTTTTTCATTTTGGTTTAGAATACTTGCCGATTATGGGAGAAGTAATTAAACCACTAGAGCACAAATTACGATTTGGTAAAAATTAAATTAGTTAATGTTTTGCCAACAGAGATAACACCATTCTGAAGTATCTAGAGTCAAACAATAATTTAATCTATTTAGAAGGATAACAAGAAGCAAGGTAGTATTGCTTTAAAAGAAAAGAAATTCTATTCATAATAGTTTAATCAATTATTTAGTTTAACAAATAGTTCACCATTTGATAATAGCTGATTGTTTATATTTACTAACCTTAATTCTAGGAACTGTAAAAGAAAGTGGTTCTATAGTAGTGTTCGTCAACCTTAATGCCTTAGCAAATTCGACCTGAGTCACATCCACACAATTTTTTGGGAGGAATGACAGGCCTTGATGTAGCGAACCACACCTATGATGGCTGAGAGGGTTAAGGTATGGCGCCTCGCTGCTCACTTCAAATGCATAAATTGTAGAATCACCCTAAATCGGAAAGTAAACGATAAGAAAGTTGTTTCTTTTATTGGTTACTTAATTTTTATTAGTATTTAAATGTGATAAAAGTCTAAAAGATAAATTAAAAAGTAATAATAGTAATGTTCACTGAGTATTTACACTCCAGAACCCATTAATGTAATGGCACCGGAGAAGGGGGTAGTCAAGCAAATTGGCCAGTCAGTACTTTTTGTGATTCCAAGGGGGCCAACTAAATGGGAAAGGAAGAGGTTCCTGATTCTCTGTATAACTATTAATCAAAGTACTCAGCACTTAAGTATTTAAATTATCATTAGTGTACTTAAGCCACTTAAAAAAGGCAAAATAAAAAAAAACTTGTACAACTAAAACCCATGAACGGTCTTGGGGTACATTACTATTTAGGGAAAGTATTGTTTCTTAGTCAAGGGTTGTGCAAGGAAGTGATTTGACTGAGATCACATTCAACTAACAGGTTTTCTCCTTTAATTAATTATTCAATTGAGGGTACTTAAATAATCAATTAATCATTAAGTAACTAAATAATAAATTAAGGGCACCCTCTTTATAGAGGCTGAGTGTGCCCCAGGAGGGTCTCTTGATTTCACGATCACCCCATGGCTGATGAAACCGAATAAATAATTTTTCTGCCATGAGCCGGCATTCGAACCTGGGACCTTGAGCATTGAAAGATCAGTAGCCTACCACTGAGCTACCCCACTCCCTCAAAAAAGGTAAAACTAAGCCAAATACAAATAAACCAAAATCAATAGCTATCATTCTTTTATTTTAACAATATAAATGTACTACAAACATAAATTACATGTTCAATTTATTTTATAATAAATATTTAGCTCATTTAATTTCTTATAAAAGTTTCAAATCATTGGTATGAAGGATGACTAGATAAATATAAGTTATTACCCTTCCAGTAAGAAACAAGGTGGAACTGTCTTCATCATAAAATGGTATAAGAATAGCAGGAGAAACATCCAATCCAATTGAAGTCAGAGGATTAGTTAAATCACTGCTTTTAAACAACATTATTTGCCTCTCAGAAACCCTAAAAAGAAGTTATACATAATAAAAAATTAATAATAATTAATTGTTATTAATATTTATTATATTATAAATAAATAAATCTGATAAAAAAATCATCCCACAAAGTGTTTAAGAAGGTAAGACAAATGTTTGGCCAAAAGTCATAATTTTTTTACAGAAATTTATGTTTCTTGGCCAAATAATTCTGCGGTTCTCATTTATACAAACAGCTTAAAACTTAAATAAGACAATATACATATTTGAGATGTCGGACCAATGAAAAAAAAACTGAATTTTTTTTAACTGCATTTTTTTAAAAAGGTTAAATTAAGCCATTTTGATGAAATACCAGTGAATTTATTACATAAATTATCAAAAATTAGCAGTACATAAAGTATTAAAGATTTTTAAACATTAAGAAATGAACTTGTCTGAGAGTTAAATGATAAAAGTTACAGTACTACTATTTATGTAATTGTTTACATCATATACAAGACAATAGAAATACACAAGAAAATAGAAATATTTATCCTTTTTTGTATAAGATAAGATTTGATTTAATTCAAAATATATCTTTATATCGAGCTTATGGCAGGAAAACAAGACAACTATAATGTGGTAAAAAGTTGTTAAATATGACATTCTATTTTCATTCAGAAATAGGATAAAAACAGATATAACACATTAAAATAATGTAATATATGAAATTATAATAATATAAAATAATACATACTTATCAAATCCCATAACTGCAAGATATTGGCCATCTAAGGCCCAAACAATCCTGGCACCCCTAGTCCCTCCAGGTCCTTTGCCTTGGGCAATGGGAGTGCTTCCTTCCCTAGGTTCGAATATGAGCAGAGAAGATCCACGAGTAGCTGCAGCAATTCTACGACCACAGGGTGACCAGGCTAAGGCAATCACCTGTTAACATTATTTATGATTCCGATAAATAAAACGATCATATATTATACTAAAGCACCATTTACACCAAAAACATACATGATCTTCAGTCTTAAGGCAATAGGCTTGTTGAAGAGTGGACAAGTCCCAAATCCTTATAGTCATATCATATGAGGTTGTAGCCAGTATGTCACTTGCCAAGGGATGGAATTTAAGACAGTAAATTTTCTCTATGTGAGCCTGAAGCACTTTATCAGCATTATTAGTAGCCTCTGTGAGACCCGACTCTGGTACGATCCATAGCTTCACACTTCCATCATCACAACCTGTTGAAAATCTTCTTTCATTTTAGGTATTCACAAAAATGAAAAATTCTTGAAAACAATAAGTCACAAACCTAAATTATCATGTGACCACAAAGGCCCTTCTTAATGTTTTAAACAAAGAACATTAAGATTTTTAAAAAATAGTAGCACTATAACCCATGAAGGCCTTTGTTTCAGTACTATATCAGGAAGTACTGTTACTGTTTTAAGGCCACTAATTGAGCAATAGAGGTGATTTGGCGAGATCACGCTTAATCAACAAGTATTTTACTCGAATTAAAGTCACCCACTTCATAAAGGTTGACTTGGATGAGCCACTAGAGGGTTTATCTACAGCTAATGTTATAGAATAAATACATATCTGCCATAGCTGGACTCGAACAATGGGTAAGGAGGTAGCAAGATGTCTTACCCACTAAGCTTCCTCATTTTTATCATATTTAAACTAAATAAATACAAAGCATTTTATCAATAAAAATTGATCATGAAAAGTTTAAAATTCAAATGTAAATTAACTAATAATATTTAAGGTGCAGAATAGTTCAGTGAATAAAGCACTGTGGTCCTTTGCTGGATTTGAGTCCATCTATGACAGGTAACTATTAAGTTTGTTACATCAGCCATAGATTGACCCTAGTGTTAGGAGAACCTCTTGAAGCACACTGGCGATTGAGCAAGATCTCGATTAAATCACCTCCATTCACAGTTAGGTTTTTTTTAATAATATTTAAGGAAAATAATTTTTTTTTTTTCATTTGTGCAGGAGTTTTTTCATAAGTTTTAATACTCAACTCTCAACTCAAATCAAACAGTCAGTATAGAAAAACATTTTTTTTATTTTAATGAAATTTAAAACTGTATTACATAGAAAATACAACAAGTAAATGTGACATTGGTAACATGACATGTACAACATGAAGATAAACTACCCATTGGTAGAACTCAAATTAAAGTTCTATATTAGAAGGTCTCCGAGGCCATCTTCGTTTCAGACGCCTCGGAGGGTTATCAGGGATCGAGGAGGAAGCAAAAAGAGGCTTCGGATGGTTCTGCAGTTTTTTATGGAAGGATAGGTATCTGGATTGGGCCAAATCGAAAACATATGGAACATTAAGGTCTTTATGGATGATTTTATTTGTGACAAAGTAAGGATTGTAAGGATTGGATACGAGAGGAATTCTATGGCTTAGTGGAGCCCCAAAGCTCAATTCCGTAAGTCCAAATAGGTCTTATTATTGTCATATATATGAGTTGTTTGTAATTGATTGACAACTTAGAGCGTTTGTCTAGTAAGTGCTGCAGAGAAAAACATTTAATTTTAAATAAAGTACCAAGTATATTAGTGACCACTTTCAAAAATTATAAAAATAAATTAAATGAGATTAAAATGAATGAATATATCTTACCAACAGCCAACCTCTTATTGTCAAATGGGTCCCAAGAAAAATCCATAATGTTGGTAGCATTAACCAAAGTTGGGATGACTCCATCTGGCAGTTTGCCAGGCTTGCTAAGTTCAAAGACAGCCAGTTTACCACCAGGACCTCCAAGGGGTACACCTACTCGATCTTTATTACCTGATAAATATTAAATTGAATAATTAAATTAGCAGAGTTAGGATTTAGTTTAATATTAATTATTATAATTATCCAGTTATTGATATGTAGATTATTAAAATAATATGTCATTCCATAATTCAAGAGAATCATAAGATATAACTGTATATGAAAACCATTAGAGAAAAACACTTTTTTTCCTAAAAACTTGAATAAGAGAAAAACAAAATTCTATGTCTTACTGCTGAAAATTAAGTTTTTGTTGATGCGAAAACTTTCACAAATGGGGCACAATAGTAATCTTGATAACCAACTTTTTCGGTCATATTTTCAATTCAATAACGAAGTTGGGAAGGAGGTAGAGAAAAGACCTGATAAACCAAAGATAAGGAGTTCATATTCCAGCTGAGGGGACTCTTAATTCAGGCCTAATTCCGCCTCTCCTTTGGATCAGGAAAAATCCATGTTTAGCTAACAAGGGAGGAATGGGAGAAGAAAAAAAAAAATGTTGGTAACCAAAAGTAACGTATTCTTTTTACTTAGATACCAAATATCAGATAGATACAGTCTTAGAATTGCACTTACTTTTAATTTCATGAAATGAAAATATTAACTGTTGATTGAAATATGATTTCTTTTATAATCCTCCTATCACTTTTTTTAATGAGCACTGAGGTGAAGACCTTGTTCATTTTTCATTTGACTCATATTAGATTCATTTGTTTCAGCTATGTTCATATCATTGATCACAGATCGAATAAGAATCGGTTTATGGATACCCAAATAATGTAAAATCAGAGAGGCTAAGTATAAATATTGATTCTCCAACCTGTTAAGATTACTATTATTTTTTTTTTTAAACTCAAGTGAATCCTCTTATCTGTACACAATATCCCCAAGAAAAAGGGTTAATTATAAAAATTAACAAGAGTTATAAAAATTATAAATATAATCATCAGCATATTATAATGAACAATATGATGGCAAGGAGGTTAAGATGGGTGGGCCTTATAGCTTGGAACAATCTGTCAGGGAGTCTCTATACAATGAATGGATCAATAATAAGCAAGAAACATCATAGAAGGCCAAATCCAGATGGCTAGATCAAATCAACAAAGCTGCATGCAGTTGGAAAGAAATAGCTCAAGATAGGCAGAGATAGATAAGGCTGGTTAAGGCAACAAAAGATCTACCTCTATAAAGCCATCAGAAGCAAAAAATAAATAAATAATATGAACAGTAAAATCAAATGGAGTAAAATTTTGAAATTGTCACAAAAGACATAAATGCAAGATTCAGAAAAGTAATCCAATAAATCAGATTTTTATAATTAAAAAAGAATACGGAGTAGGACAAGATGTATTAACAATATTTTTGACTCTGTAGGAGAATAAGATAATATTAATAGCACTTTTAATGAATAAAAATAACTGAACCTCAAGGCAATCCTGTATTTATGATTGGAAAGATCATGTAAAAAGAACTTTCATTTTCATTTTTTTTTTTTTTTAGATATGGGTTCATAAGCAATGGACTTACAAAAAATAAGTCATTAAAAAATATGGATTGATGAAAAAAATAATATAATGGCATAAAAAATAACTCTAACTATATTGTGAGACTACCTTTAAAATATTCACGAAGAATAAAGACTTACATCAAATCTGATTACTAGTTGGCAAGTGCAAAAAATTCACATAGATTATTGGTCAGTGAACAATAGACAAAATATTAAGAAAATGAAATAATGTAACGTATCATAAGATGGAGGAATCAATTCTTATTTTCTCGGTAACTGTAATCGACCAAGAAAAAGAAAATTATTTAAAAATTCTATCCATGTTTTAAACATTCACCTTTACAAATTACAATAAGTTGTAAAAATGTTGGAACTCACTTTGTTTTTTCAGTCGGTACAAATTGTTTCAACATTGTATTCATACTACAGCGATATGCCAAATAAATAGATTTTAATATAATTCTCCTAAAGAATATAAACCGAAAATAAGAGAAAAAAAATTAATAATAAAAAAAACTTAATCAGACGAATTCCTAATTGACTTCGAGGATTTTTTTGTTTAGTAGGGAATTTAGTAACCTTTCATATAATCATGGGTGATAGACAGGATGCAGTCAGTTTTTAATTTTTTTAATGCCAACATTTCAACCCAAGATTGTGGGTCATCTTCAGTACTGGTCCTGAAGATGATCTACAAGTTGGGTTGAAATGTTGGCAATAAAAATCTTAAAAACTGACTACGCCCTGACTAACTGTCACCCATGATATGTAGAATAGTCAACTAACTTCCTTCAATAATTTTTTCAAATAATCATTGGTATAATCAATAATACAAAGCATAGTTTTTTTAATTACATGCAAATAAAGTTTCTTGTCGTTTATAACTTTTTTTCCTGAAATTTCTGGAGAATGCATTATTTTTCTCATCTAAAGGAGAAACAAATCTTAAAAATGAGTACTCACTCACTGCTCAAGAATTAAAGAAGATATGGCATACAAACAAAAAAACATCTTTGAGAAATAATATATAAAGATGAAACCAACTGAAGGTTACATTAGCAATTAGAATTAGTTAATAGCATTTACGGATTTAACCATTGGTATATCATATATCCTATGCTGTAATAAATATCCTAAAAAAATATTCTGAACTACAGTTGCACATTAACCATTAACTAGTTCGACATCATCATAGAAAACTAAAACAATAAAAAATCACTACATCTAATCAAAACTCCATTATAAAATTTCCAATACTTATTAAAACACAAGTATTATTATTCAACATTACAATAATATCTCAATATACCAATCAAAAATTTAGATCATCCCTATAATTCCATTAAGAAATCCACCCACATTATTTTTTTACAATGCCTTCCGATCAATTCCCCATAACCCTTGAATAACCTGAAAACAAGATGGCACCAAGCCTTCACTATCTTCTTACAAATGTCGGTCATGGGAGTTCAACCAAGAGTAGTCTCTTTCATTCATGTGAAAAAGCATGTACAACTTTATTGCTTTATTGATGAATGTAAAAATTTTAATTTATAAATGAAAATCATCTATTTAAATTGATAAATCTAAAATTTTATCAATGCGTTTAATAACAGCCAAAGGAAAACATAAATATGATAGGCTAACAGATAATATAAAAGAAGCACTTACAATGAAAACCATCACATTCTCCAGAAATCTGTCGGCTTACATTACGCACATTTTCAATATGTTGGGATTTGTGAGCTGGGGTTCCTTTCAAATGACGATACTTGGACACTCTTCCTACAAAGCCCAAAAGCATTAACAAAATTAATATACATTCCTATTTGCATTAAAATATTTCCTTCTCATCAAATATAGTGAATGATGAATGAGCTTACCAAAAACTGTAGAGGTTCGTTTTGGTGCAGAAGAGGTTGGAGGGATAGGTGCACTTTTGGCTTGGTTTGCTCTTTGATTGACATTATCTTCTTCTTTTATAGCATTATTTTTTATTGCCTGTAATGGAATCAATTTATTTATAATAAGCTGAGAAAATGTTATTGCTATGATATAATCAAAAGCAGACTAAATATGGAAGCAAAATAAGTAATACTACGCTCACCTTCAATGAATCACGCCTCCTCAAAGGCACAGGAGATACTGCAGATGGTTCTTGAACAGACTGTGACCTAGCTTCATACATCTTCCTCCTTTCTGCAATACTAGCACGAACACCACCTCTCATAAGTTCATCGCCTCCACCTCCAACATCTTCAGCATCTTCTTCAGTGGGGGAACTTTCAACAGCTCCATCTTCCTAGAATAAAAAAAATAAAAATTATGTAAAAAAAATTAAAAATCTATATAATTTCAAAAGCCATTTAAGAGGAGGTAGAAGTGGAGGAAAATGTTAGGATAATAGCCTGGTACGTTCAAGGAGTGACACGGTGAAGGATCAGAACTACTTAAATTGAGTTTTACTCTCCTTTTTGTGGGCACTAATGATAAATCTCAACCTTAACAATCAGGAATCACAGTCAGGCTATAGCCAGGGCTCAAAAAGTGACCTCATCGCAGGCAAAGGTTTAAATGTAAATTACAAAATTGTATGTTATTCAAAGTAAAATGAAGCTTGTCCATCATTCCAGAGCCACTGCTTAAAAAAATATTGCCTAGTTTATAAGGCCAGTAATTTGAAGATTGAAATGAAAAATATATTGCAAAAATATGGGAAAAGTTTTTGTGATTTTTAACTTGTATATATGGGTTCAAATATGAAATAAAACAAAATTTTTAACATGGGCCACCAAGGGAAAACATTTTACAGCCAAAAAGTCAGTTTTTTCAATCTTTTGTTTTTTACCTTGTTACCACACTCCTCTTGTGACGTCATGACGTCTTCAGTAATCAGTGCTGCAACTAGCTTCACTTCGTCCTACATCTTTGGAAATCGATTGTCCAGACTTGATACAAAATATCGATTGAGTTGTTTTAAAAAACAGATGATAGAAAAAATTACAGTTTTTGTCGCTAGCGTGAAAAATATACAATTTTTACCTAGTGGCATAACAATTGCCTGCCATCGCTGTATTATATTATCTGTGCTGGAGTTGCAAGTCTTTTTAAGTATTTGTTAATTGGCAAACATAATTTTATTTTAGTATTTTTCCTTTATAAAACTTTACCTCTTTTTTCTCTTTATTCTGTAATTAATTTTTCTGCAGCTGCATTCTCTCATTTTTGTATAACGTTATTTTTCTTTTATATTTTTGTTTAAACTTTATTACTCACAGCTTTTGCATTGTTTCCCAAAAAATTAAACTGTATACATCAATTGTTAATATTGTATTTAATGAGTGAACCTACTGGAATCCTTAAAACCTATAACTCCGAAACAGTGCATTGAATCGGAAAACGTACTTTGTTGTGAAATTACAGAACATTAAATTGTGTGTCAAACGCATATCTAAACTTAATAATTTGGTTAAGTCGTATGGTAGAAAACTACTACTAACTAAAACTAATACTATGGTACTTATATACCACATCAATATATAAATAAAGGCTTTATTTACACAAAAGATAAAAATCTGCTACAACACAAGGGATGGGTTTATTAATAATTCAAAATGGACTCTGATCCCATCTGTTATTATTTTGGAATTGAGTAAGAGAAGGCTATGGGACATGTCCTCCAAGTCTTAACAAATGGATGCAAGACATGGATCTTAATAAAAAAAAATCTATAAATAAAATAAATGTCAATCTGCCCACAAAATAAAATGTAAATGGACAGGCCATCTAATGAGAACTAAAGATAACTACTCACCCAAGAAAATGGAAACAAAAAAGAGATTCCCACAAGAGAAATGGGGACCAAGAAACGAGAAAAAAGTGAGATGTTTTAGGTTAGCACTGGAGAGGAAGGAATAGAATTTAGTGGAAAGAATTTGTACATAACAAGTAAAAAATAGATTTTTTACTTTTTAAAAAAATTTTAATATCAACCATTAAAGTTGCTTTGGGTTTTGAAATAATTGAGATAGTAACTACACCATATAAAAAGCGTTAATTATATAAATTATTAAAAACTAATGTTCATAATAGAGGGTATTGACACAAGAAGCAGATACATCCATAATCATAAAAATGTTTACAAAAGCCATAGGATGTTAAATAAGACACCAGGGTAACTCCACAATTGGGCTTTAAATGATAATTCAGTTCAGAGACTAATATTCTTTTTGACCTTAATGATGGAATGCATAGCCTCATTAAAATCCTTGTCAAAAACATAGATAATTTTTATACCATCAATTAATTTGTCCAGTTTCTTCAGCATGAACCATAATGTAATCTTTCTCACATTATTTACCGCACTGGAGAGAACTGATTTTATAATTATGCGTTTCTTCCACCATTCAAAACAGCAACATTGTACCCAAAAAAAAGGACATCCTATTCTTGTATCAAGACCCTTAACTTCATAAATACAATTATGTATTGTAATATTAAAAATATTATGTATTGTATTACCTCATCATTGTTTTCTTGGTCTGGTTGAGATTCTGGGCTATTTTTTTCATTCCCATTAACTGAATTAGAATTGGAATTGATAAAGTCTGGTAGTGATGTTGTCATGATGTTGGACGCATTAGTAGCAGGAGGATCATTGTCCAGAATAATGCTCCTTTCTACGGAATCTCCACTTTCAAATTTTGGAGGCGTGAATGGTTTTGGTCCTAATCTTGGCTGAAAATACAAGGAAGAGAATGAATAATATGTACCAGAATATGAAATAAGTATCAGTAAATGACATTTCTCTAAATAAATAAATTATTAATATTTAATAAAATCTATAATTACTCCAATCACCTGAATTTAAAAAAAAGAATAGTGTGATCAACATAGCTCCATCAATGGGACGCAAAGTTATTTAAATATTTCATTAATGCTCCTGAGAAAATTGAATTATAACCTGAACATTTTATAATTTGTTATCAAAATAACGGCAGGGTGGCCAAGTGGGCTAATGAAATAAATACGAGTTTGTGTTCCGGGGCCTGAAGGGAAGGGAGAGGCTTTAATTCTGGCATTACCCTCCTGGCCCAGGAAAACCCTGTATAGCCTAAAAGGTTAGGAAAAGTAGGAAAAAAAAAATTGTTATCAAATTTAATTAAATAATAGGAAGAGGATGGAAGACCTAATAAAGGCAAAAGGCACTTTTCTAGCACCAATTCAATTTACACACAATTTTTAATTCTTTAACTCAATTTCAAAATGTCAAAAGGCTACAAAATTTCACCCCTACCACACAGAGAATAAACATGTAAAATTGTTACAAACAACCTTTTGCACTAACAGTAGCAATATTTAAAATTCATCTGCCCTCTCCATCCCTCTTCCGCTCTCCCCACAACCATGGTCATCGATACAGTGTGTCTATTATTTTCAAGGTAAATACAACAAAAAAATTGGTAATATATAAATATAAGTGTTAACCATTAAAAAAACAAAAACAAAGAAGTTTATAACAAACTATTTTCAATAAAAAGTTAAATAAAGTTTGAAGGTAACTAACTGAATGGCATAATTTTAAAAATACTTTAGTGCATATATATGAGTATAAATATAATCTACTTTTATTAAAAAAATAATTCACATTAATCTAGGCCTACAGAAAAATAGAAGATAATTTCACACATTTCACTAATAAAAATAAAACATAACAATTGTATTTTGAAACAACCAAACAAAAATTATAAACAAGTTTATAATGCTACTTATGTAATATCCAAAAAATAAATAAAAAAATACTTGATTATGCCTATAAAACAAACATCAATTGTCATACTTCAAATTAATATATAATTATTCATACAAAGCTATTTAGCCTCACAAAACTAATTTAGGTTGCAATAGAAAAGTATCATACCAAATGGTCAACCAACTATCAAAAAGCACTGCTATCAAATCAGCATCAAATAAAGCTTTAAAAAATATATAATAATAATAGAAAAAATATTCAAATCTTGTTCATAAAACTGAATGAGAACAAGAAGACCTTATTCTGTTCATCTTAACCCTAAAGAAATGTTGCATATTGGAAGGTCATTGAAAACAGATAAAAGAATCTATATGACACTTTCAAGACATTAACTTTGAGAGTTGAGCGAATTACTTCACAGTTAAATGAGGAATATGGACGCATATATACAATAAAACTGTAATTCTTGCTCATAACAATTTTATTGCTAAAACACTATTTTTCTTGGTTCCAACAAAGATTTGATTTTCCTGTTTTAATGTTCTGGATAAATTTCCCCTTCAATATTTTGTGATATGAGACATGCAGACCTTATGTATATCTCAGAAATTGCTCCCGTATTTCATTGTATTTATGTAAAATCATGTGATCTCTAATGTTCGACATGTATTATTTTCATTGAAATATTTAAGCAGGTCAGCATAAATAGCGATTTTTCAAAATTTCGTCTTCCTAAGTACCTTTAATTTTGTGTATTAATAATAATTAACTAATTAACATAATTACTGGTAATAAAAATGGTCAAATATAAACTATGAAAGTATTTGATAAATAATTAAAGAAGAAATAAAGGGTTAATACCATGGATCAGAGAACTAATGAAGGCTGCTGGAGCATGGTTGGAATGGTAAATTTAAATATTATTCCTGAAAGTGCTATTATAATTTGATGTAGAATAGGTGAGGAATGCACATATGTATGATAGGATAGCATATGTATGGCTGTAATAGCTCTGGCCTTAATTAGCATTTAATTACATAAATTTCAGCAATATGTAACTAAAATTGATTTTAATATTGATAGGCCCAAGAAAAAACCCATAAGCTTAAAAGGCAAGGAAGGAGAGAAAAATAAAAAATATTGAGTTACATCCTAAATAACTCCATTGCTCCAGATTTTTTTTTTAAATCTCTTCTAGACGTTTCCTAGATAAATAGCCAACACGCACTGATATCTCTGTAAAATATTGGAATCAGGATATTATCCTATACACCTGAGTATCAAGTTAAATCTCAAGCCAGAGAGAAGTTGGCAGCATTTACAGTCTTGACCACTCTTCAGTAATAAAAAATGATTTATCTAACTATTATGATGTGGAAAATGTTCTTTTTTTTCCATATTCAGGAGGTATTTGAAAAATAATAATCTACTAATTAATTAACATATTTCTTTTCATAAAGAACACAATTTATACAAATAACATAAATGTTAAAAATGATACAATGAAAAGTTTTAAACGAAGAGACTAAATCATTTCCTTTATTTAAATATATAATGTAATTTTTCAGCATGAACATTTCATCTCAACTTAAAATTAATTTAAATTAAAAAATATTTTAGTAACAGAAAAAAAATGTTACATCATCAAGATTGCTGACACATAGATGATAGAAAGGAGACGAAAGTATAGGTGATACAGTAAAAATAACCTATAACTATTCAGATAGAATAAAAAAAAATCTATAACTTAATTCACCAGAATTTATGCTGCATATCGTGCGAAACGTACACTAAAAAAAAAATAAATAAAAATTAAAATAGCTGTGCAGTAGATGCCAAGTTTTTTATATGTAAATTGCTATAAAAGAGGTAAAACCTTTAGACCTTGAGGAGGGGTAGTATTACTCCAAAATTAGAGTCTTGGTGGATCCAAGGAATTAATCTTGATCTTTCCTTTTTGGTTAGAATAAGTTAGTTTAAAAGAATAAACCCCCTTCCTTCTCCTCCCATCTTCATATGCCAGAAAACAAAAAGATTAGTTAATGGCTTATTTAAAGAATCAAAGATTGTTTCTGGAAGTTACGACACAAACAAATTATTCAAATTTCGGAGTAATATTAACCCCTCTTTCCCCAGATGCAAAGTTTTCCCGTTTTACGATATTTGTAAGGAATGTTCAGAAAATTTATGAGGAAAAGAAAATTCCTAAAGAATGGGAATACAACATTATCATACCCATCCACAAATATGAAAAGCCCGGAGTGCAAAGAACGTGCCAAATGGTTAGTTACTTACAATACAATCAACATACTAGGCACCAAAAGATATTGTGAGAATTAATGGGCTGGAGTTGAAGATCTTTCTGATGGAAAAAGAAGTAAAGCAGGAGGATAATCTCAATCCTCTATTGTTTATCATTTTTACGGATGAAATGATAAAAATTTGTCAGAGAAGAACAGCAAGAGCTGTAATTGATCATTGATGAACTATATTAGCACAAGTAATTGTATATACCGACGACATAGCCCTCATCGCTGACTCTTAACCTCCAGGCAAGCCCTAGTAGAGTGGGAAGCAGAACTGGAAAGGAATAGCATGAATATTAATGCCAGAAAAAGCAAAATCTTACAAGTAGGACGAGATCCTGAACAAATCCAACCGGCATACAATAACGAGGAGCTTGAAGCCATAAATGAGTTCTTGGACCTTGGAACTGTGGAATTTCTCCTAACTTCAGCAGAAATATCCCACAAGATAGGAAAAGTTAATAGTATATACTATTCTATTAGCAACATAATAGTAGGAAAGAGAGAGGCTAATAAAAACATTAAGCTCCACATTTTTAAGGCCGTATATATATGCTATATTTATTGAGCAGAGACCTGGGAACTCCCAGACAACAAATGGAACCAAATAACTGCAGTTGAGATGAAATACTTGCCGAGAGTGGCCTCACAACACCCAGCAATAGGATCAGGAGTGTAACTATAAGGGAATAACTAAAAATTCCTTCAATGAAGTAGACCCTAGAAAAGAGACAGTTGGAATGGTACAGCCATGTGTGCAGAATGACCCCTTTATAGAGGCGAGACCAATAGGCAGACCAAGGCTTAGCTATAATAGCTATATTTCCAAATAGGGACAAGTGAGAGAAAAGATATTGCAGGAGATTACAACTCGTGCGAGAGACAGAGCTAGATGGATATCCTAGGTTGGATTAATTTAACTCAACGCTGAAAGGCAAAAGAACAAGCAATGTTGGTTTTCTGAAAAAAATATGAGATGATTTCATTCAATATGTGACTGACATCAAAATAAAAACATGCAGTTATAATAAACTAAAGATAGCGAAATAATAATAGTAAAAAAAAGAAGCAAAATTCCATGCAGTCAAATCAAATAAATAAATCAACTAAATAAAAAAAAAAACACAATTTATGAACAAACCAGCAAATTAAAGTGCGACAAAAACACACGTCAACGCAGATTTAGAAACTCTAGGAAATTCTAACCTTATAACCAGCAGAAATGTTGATAGAGCAGATAAAAGGAGGTTGAGAAACTGGCTGTACTGAGTTAGTCCTTGGTCTTGGTTTCGGTGCAGAGTCATCTTCAGTGACTGAGCCAGTCCTACAAACTCGAGGCAATGGTTTTGGAGGTGTCGTCTCAGTATTACCATTTTGTATTTTATCTTCCTCTCTTTTGTTCTCAACTCTCTTATTTTTAATTTCATTAGCTTCATTGTTATCTTTTTCAAAAAGAGTACGTGTGTTTGGTAAATTAGTTCTGAAAGGCTTTGGTTGAGGCTCTAATGGTTTAGTAACATTTATTTTAGCTGCAGCAATTTCGGCTTTTTCTTGAAAATCTTTTCTCATTTCTGAGATATTTCCTCGATGAACTTGCTAAGAATATTCAAAGGAACATACAAAATATTGAAAGTATTATTATATTTATTTAAAAATATAATAATACATAATACATCACTAAATAGTGAGTATATAGATTACTAATAAGCTTTCTAAAAATATGTACAATTATTTACATAAGATTAATTATCAGGTGTAACTAGTTCAAATAAAATAATAAATCAAAAATATATTTACTTTGACTTGCTTGTCAGCGGGGTTCAAACTAATTTTTGGCACAGGCAAATCGGAACCTTGCATCCATTGAGTAGGATTCACTTTGCTTTCACTACCAGCTGTACTAGGGAATAGTTCCGAATGGAAATCTCTATAAGACTGTAAAAACAAAATTCAAGATTAAACATATGATAAAAGATAGAAATTGACAAAGAATTAATAACTGATAAATATTTATCATTAATAATTTTATTGGTTATACAGATTGAATCTAACAAGAAACCAAACTAATTATAAGCCAGAACCTACCTTTCTTGGTACTTGATACATAATGGGAATAATAGAAGATGATGTCAGCTGTAATAGACGATTTACTTCTGCCTGCATTACATTTAAAGCACGCTTTGGAACAAGACAAGCACCTTTTGTTTGTTCACCTGTATGCCTTATGCCTTCAACAAGATATGGTTCCCTGAAAATATAATAATAAAAGTTATAAAATTAATATTTAATGAATAATTCGAGCCATTATCACACAGCAATAATAACAAATCAATTATTTACAATTACACTAAAAAAAAAATTTTAATCATTTTAGAGTAGAACCTCAACATTCTACTTAAATCATTTTAAACCACAATAATCAAGTGTTTAACCGATCAGATGATTCCAATTAACAAGCTGACCACATTAGTTTTAGTAGCAAAACTAAGATAAAACACAGTTTATGTTCATATTATATAAAATGTTATTTTAAAAATATATACTGAGAATGGATGATTCAATTAGAGAATTCAATATGTTAAAAATGAGGAAATTGAATAAGTTATTTATTTTTCTACCAATGCCTATCAAATAGGCAAAATATTTTTTATTGGTGTTTAACAGCCTCATGAATTTTAATTAGAGCAGAAATAGACGGGTTAAAAATGGAACTGCGGAGCATGCTCCTAGAAAACATAAATGAATTAATAGCATCTGAATGGTTTAAATGCGATTGCAGAGTTGTTGGGCTAAAGAGCGAATAAATCCTCAAAAAGTTAACAAGTGCTTACGGGACAGATAAATATCCAAGGTGTTCATTGAGACTTGATGGGAGGATTTTATAAATGCTGACTTTCCAGATTTAGGTTTTCTCTGAACTCCTTCAAAACCGAATATGTTTTATAGTGAATACAATACTGGATTGGTTTAAGTTCATGAGTAGTCGAGTCTTATTGTAATTTTTAAAGTGAAGGGAAATTTTTCAGGGAGACAAGCTGATTACATACTTCATAATAACTATTCAAAGTAAAATGTTACTTATAAATGGGAGTGGGGTAGCTCCGTAGGTAGGGTACTGACTTCTAAAGCTGAAGTTCCCAGGTCGGAATCCGGCTGATGACAGGTAATTATTTATTTTGCTTTATCGGCCTTGAATCGATTCTGGGGCCATGAGACTCTTCTGGGCCACATCCCAGCCTATATTAAGAGGGCACTCTTAATTAATTAATAAAGCGAGAAAAGATGGTGGATGAGCATGATCTCAGTCAAATCACCTCCTTGCAAAACTGTAAGCAAGAAATAGTACTTTGTTTCATACCACTGAACCCAAGACCCTCCACGGATTTTAGTGTAACAGGTTTTTTTTTTTAATTATATCATAGTCATAACAAAATATTTAGCTTCTTTAATTTTGGTGTTGAATAGATTTTCACAGTAATATTATATTGTTTATACGAATTAACATATTTCTTTAGTAAAGCGTATACTTTGAATTTCATTATGGAGAAGGATAGATGTCCTCCAAGTTGAAAATTCTGCTATGGGGATTATTAAACTAATTTTGGAAATAAATTAATATTTTAATACTATATCATTTAAAGCTTAACAATCCATAAGAAAACATACATACCTTTCAGTAACCTCCAAATAAGATATTGTTGTGTCACCTTTCCCAGCAAGGAATAGCATACAAGTATCAGGATCAAAAAGAGGAATCAGAATACTGCAAAAGAATAACTAGAGTTATACAATCTCTTAATAGATAGATAAAAACATTCAATAAAAATAAAAACAGTTACCCAGTAGAACTATCTAAAACTAGAGTTTTTTCTGGAGTCTTAAAGTTCCGAATATCACGTATATAGACTTCTCTTTGTCGAGCCTATAAGAAAAGAAAATTTTATAAAAAAAAATAAAATAAATAAAAAACATTTTATAAATATTTAATATACACATTTATTGAAAGTTGGTAAAAATGGTTTAAAAAATTAATGTTGAACAGTTAAAAGCCAAGCTAATCTAGTTCTGCTTATGTTAAGGGATGTTTAAATTTGAAATAGTTTCACTAATGAAAAAGGGCCATTTCCAGAGAAAAGAAAATGGCTGCTCTGCAGTTTCCCCAAAAAGGAAAATCCCAAAGAGGGGGGGCAAAGGATTTTTGTTTTGGCAAGCAGTTATTTGGCGGAGGCACAAGTTATTTGGAATTACAAGAGAGAGGATCTCCCAGGGAGCTTGAGATGAGTAGATGAAAGTGCCACCATTTTGGAAGGTGTGTTTGGCAGAACATTGGAAAGTGTTTAAAGACAAATTAATTCCGTGTCACTAAGGAAGAAACAGCTTATAGAAAAAAGATTAGCTTGATAATTCATACTTGACTTTATTTTAAAATCAAACAGGGTTTAGTGTAAATAATTTTAGTCTGTCTGAGTCTTTTTGATCTGAATGTCAGTGACCTATACCTGAAATAGAATAATTATAAAGTTCAGTTTAATATATTAATATTTTTATAATTTTATTTTTTATTTAACCTCTTATTACTTATGGAAATATCCCACAGTATTCAAGTGTTCTTCCAAGAGGCTATATTACTAGTTTAAACTATAAGAGATATTACAATATATATATATATATATATATATATATATATATATATATATATATATATATGAGAGAGAGAGAGAGAGAGAGAGAGAGAGAATTAAAACTAATAATTAGTAATTTAAAATAATTATAAATATATTTTTCGGTTATTTTATATTCAAAAAATAGAAAAGATACTAACAGAATCAAATCCAGTTGTTAATATTCTATTTGTGTCACCAAGCCAGACAACCCTAGAATCCTTAATACTTTGATGGCTATCAGCTGAATAGGTAATTTTATCAGCTCTTGGATCTAATATACAAACTGTTTTCTCCTTTGTATGAAAAGCAAGATGGGTTCCATCACTTTTCCATGAGATACTCTGTACTAAACCATAGTCTCCATTCATACCTAGTAAACAATAAACAGATATTGAATATTTGGTAAGTATGTATTTAAATAACAATAAGAAATCAACATTTCACTATATCAACTTACTATAAAGTTCTTTTTCATTGGTAACATCCCACAAAGTAAGGGTGGTATAAGAAGCAGTAGTAAGAAGGCAGTCAACAGTGGGATGCCATTTAACACACTCAACACGTCTCTGTCGATGAGAAAATGTAATTTCAGGATTACACAAACTTTCTTCCAACCCTTTCTCGGGTATATGCCATATTTTAACCTAGGAAAAAAACAATTATCTAATTTATATAACATAATTACACAGATGTTTATGATATAACATGAAGTATGCATTCAGTAAATATATTAGATATAACACTAGCACTAAGATTCCACAGAAAATTATTTGATTACAACAATCATGTAAATGTAATTCACTGCAAACCAGTAGCAGATCCAGGATTTATTTTATTATTATTATTTTTTTTTGGTGGAAGGGGAGGTGGACTCTTTTTCATATGTATTATAACGGTAATTACTCTAGACAAAAAATATAGAAAACTATATAAAATGATGTTATGTGGTCCTTGAAGGCTTTTAAATAAAAAATTAAAAAAACATTTCATTACATTACAGAAATAATAACAATTTACGGATATGTTTTTTTTAGATTATTTTCTTGAAACATGCTTGTATTTAAAAGTTAAATATATGTTATAATTAAAGAAGTGCACATATAGTGATTGTTTAAGTGTTTAGCTCTGATTACTCACAGAAACAAATATGGCCTAATGAAAAAAAAAAATCTATTTTGGGGAGGAGAGGGCTTCAGCCTTTAATTTAAGAGTTCATGTTTAAATTAAAAAAAAGAAAACAGACTGAAAAAAAATCCTGTTTTTTTACCGAAATTCAAAAACACAAACTTCTTGGCCAATTCACTTCAGCAGATGCTGAAACTTATTTTTTTACAACATAAAAATTATTTAAAAATTGAAATACTAAATCCAAGTTCAACAAAACATTCAAAATATGAAAGAAGAATTAAAGCTCACAGAATTAAGGTGTTAACATAACTTCTATTCTTTATGTGTGTTTTTAAATTATTAATTCCTCTTTCTTGGGTGTTTTTCGAGGTTCCTTCCTATTATCAGGACATAACCGTCATAATCTTCCTTATCTCAGTGAAAATATTTTACATCGTTTTGCTCATAATTTTTCATTGTTATAACTTTAAAATACCATTGCCATTTCACCCTATTTTCATTAATAGATTATAAAACTGGTCTATTGTAATTGCACACTGATATTGCATTGTTAAATATAACAAGTTAGAACTAAAACAGAGTGAAAATAACTTTACTGTGATAAGAAAGACATGAGAATTATAATGGCGATATCCTGGTGAAGGGGTAATATTTCAAAATGTTTAATGCGATATATTTATTTTAAATAATAAAAACTGCATAAGAGGAGTAAAATTCGCACCTAGACAAAAATAAATTGAATATTTATCTAAAAAGTACTTGTAAATTTATTTTAAGTTACAAGATTTTGAAAACGGTGATTTCAGTTCTCTCCAAATTCTATATTTTAGGTTTACAGAAATTAAGAAAAGTTCTTTGTATATTGCTATTTTCGTTCTCATTCTTTGTTAATTCAAAATTTTTCTAAATAAATTTTAATTATTTGAAAAAATGATTTTAACATAAAAAAAAAAATATATATATAAGCCATACATATTTTACTTATTTTAACGTAATAAATAATTGTAATATTGCATTAATATGTAATAACACATGATATATGATAACCAATTAAGTTATCATTATTTTCTCATTATTAATCACACTATTCTAATTGCAAAAAATAGTTATTTTTATCTTAATTTATTTGATTAACAGAGTTGTTAAACTCTAAATTTTCATTAAAACAACATCATAAAACACTACTTTATTATACATTTTTATTCTTTTCAATTCATGTCAATATGGTTCAAGCTCATAATATCAGAATTCTATACACAACATTGATACTGTTAAACATTGAAATGATACAAAAACAATACTAAAATGTAACATACAATAAACGAAACTGTTATTTTTTAGTAATGAAAATATTCAATATGTTAATTTATTCATTAGTGTTGTTTAAATTATATTAATTTTTAAAAAACATGAACAAAAACAAAATTAGAAAATGACAAATATGAGCCAGAAAGATTTAACGGCAAAACAGATTCTTATGTAACATAATAACAAAAAACAAAATCCAAGTAACAATAATAAAAATGCAATGCTAATGATTGTAAACAACTAACCATACAATCTTGTGAACCAGTAGCAAGTAAACCATCGTGAAAGTTTGAAAAATCCATGTCAGTTACAGTATCGGAATGAGCATGCAGCAATGGCATAGACTTGCTCTTCCTACCACAATCATCAATTGGAAGAACTCCAAGGCTGGACCCTACAGCATTATACAAATGATGTGAATCATACTGGGCAAACAATTAAAGTTAAAATTAATTAGATGACAAGTATTACCATTATGATCTACATTGAAGGCCATAAAAGCAGCTGAAGCTGCGATATTGTTTCCATATGTTTGATAAGAACCAACACAAATGTCTCGAACACAGGCTTCTGGTTTAGGAACTATAGGGGCTGCATTTTTAAACTTAGAAGCTTTAAATCTCCAAGCCATTTTTCAAGCTAAATAACACAATCATATATTTATTTATAAATGATTCTCAAATATATAGTTCTTAATATAAGGAGGAATATCATCAAAGATATTTGACATTTTTTCATCATCTACTGGTAACATAATTACTATAATTATTATACATAAAGTTACTTATTAGATACATTTAAACATTGAACCAAATACTGTCAATTTAAATTATAGGATATTAAAAATATTAGAAACATGTATGACTATAATTTACTATGAGTCACAAGTAGCTTAGTATATACACATACTCTTAACAGAATATACTTTACTTACATATTTTTCCAGCAATGAATAAACTCACAAGTTCAATTTCTTTCAATCCAGGCACATAAAGCTCCGACGAATGTCAAAACCACACTGGAGATTTTGAAAACGTAAAAAAATCAAAAAAAAAAAAACAAGACACCAACAAACCTTATACCACAATCACAATCTTGTACTAGATTTCCATTAATTTACTAATAGCCCATTCGTTGAAGAAATTCAAGTTTATAGTCTTTCTTAAAGTATAATAAAACTTATTGTTGTTAAATACGATTGTACAACTAGAATATTATCTAAGAGAGACACTGCTATCAACCCGACCCCACGCACAAACCCCCAACACACTGCTGTCAATCTCCACCGGCAACGAAGCTCCAGCAGATATAAGATGGCGCCTCAAGCTCCCCTCCATTACTTCCAGCAATTTAATGAAATTCCTGACCGTCCCTAAAATCTTTAAAGCACTTTGTATACAACTTCGTAAACTGTTGGTTTTAACTAAAATATTATTTACATGAAAATATTGCTAAATCATGTACAATTATTTAGCCAATCCAATTAATTTGTATAATTATTTTACCGATAAAAGTACTAACTTTATCATAATATCAATTTTTTAAAGCATTATCTCCGATAACTGCTTCAAGTGAAAGACTATAGTCCTTAAATAAAAGTTGTTAAATTTATAAGAATTGTGACCATAATTTTTCAGATGTAAGTTCAATAATCTTAAATGTATCATATTTGTAAAGTACATATATAATGAATTTAAATTTTGATTAAACATCAGCACGATTAAGCCCCAAAAGAAAACATCTGTAATATAGTACACTTCTCATTATAATGACCGTTTTTACAAAAATATATCTATAAATAAAAGCCAACTGGGGAAGTAATAATTTCTGAAGTAAGACCCATTGAAGGAAAAAGTGATATTTTCTTTATACTTTTGATCCACGATTAACATATGCATATTATATTTGTTATTTACTATTGTTAGTCAATAATTGAGTATAAGAAACTATTTTCATAAATATTAACAGATATTTCTGCCCATGTCAGTGCAAATGACAAAAACAAAATGCATATATACGTATATAATTTGCTAACGGTATCATTTCCATAAATAAATGGGTACCTAATAAAAAAAAAACAAGTCCTTCCATACTTGACTACGAAAACAGGTTCTGACCGCTATTTTGATTCGTGTCCAAGCTAGTTTATAATGTATGTGAACTTTCTTCTTATAAATTCAATAATTAGCGGATTTAATAGAAAAAGAGGCTTTACTTGTACAATGTTAGGGTTAATGAGTGCTATTTTAGAATTACCTTGTCCCTCGAAGTCATGAACGTTCTTTTCGCTAGATTAAAGGACATAGCATTATTATTTTTACTTCATAATAAACTGTTTCAAGAAATGCTATTTGCTGAAGTCAACATCATGTTGTCAGAGTCCTTTGCTGATAAATTTAAATATGAATGTCGTAAATCCGATGAAATTCCTAAATAAAATAAACATATAGGTATATACATATTCTATAATAATATAATATTGTAACTGAATTGTGAAAAATTAACTACTGTTAGATTACTGTGAATGAATAACTTTTTGTTTCAAATACATGCAAATCGAGACAATATCCCATTTTCTTTTAACTTCATCAATTACCCAGAATAGAGGGATCACGAAAAGCGGACCACAAAATATTCTTCGTAATTAAACTTTATAAACTTTTTATTTACGCGTTAGGGTCACCTTAGTCCAAAAAGTGATTTTTATATAAAATTTGAATATATCTGTTGCCATTACACGCTAGACAGTGTAATTATTTTAGCTTATACCATTTTTTATCTACCTCACTATACTAATTTAATATTATTTTATTTCAACTTTTAGTAACTTAAAAAACTTCAATTATGAAATTCCACCATTTTTACTGAATCCCTTGTAACTCCTAAAATTCGTATCATGGGTCCCATGATCCTCGTTGTAGTTGTGGCTTATTCTTATCGATCAATATAGAAAATTCTAATCGATTCAATTATCTATTTTTTTTTTTACATTTTGTAAAAATACATACCAATGTATGCTCAAACATTTTTAAGTATCAGATTCAGTCTGAAAAATAATCGGATTAGTTTTAAGATATATCTGTATTCAACATTTTCAAAAGTAGAGGGAACAAGGAATTCTATAAAAATTCAACGCTTTTTCCTTAAAACTAATAGATCAGATTTTATTGCAGTTACAATATTCACATTTAATGAAATGATCAATACAAAAAAATAATAAAAACTTCTGCTGTAATTTCGTGTTATAACAATCAACGAAATATATCGATCGCGTAGCTTAAGAAGGTCCAATTTGTATTTCAGTCATATATATCTAAGATATGCACTGTTATTCTGGTTAAGTTTTCCATGTAAATTGATTTTCTTCAATTTAAGTGATGGTCTTCCATTCTAATAAAACTCCCAGTGTATTGACCTTGTTAATCAGTTATGAAAAACTAATGAATGCAACAATTGACGAAGTGGACTTTTTGACATCATAACGCTTTCGTTGTTTTTTTAATCCAGAAAGGGTCAAACTGCAACTTACTGCCATTACTATGCCAAATATTTTTCTGGAAATGAAATATTAAAAATCCATTAATGTAAGTTGCACACAATTCAATCATACATTACATGGGCGGATCTACGGGGGGGAGGAAGGGAGCTTTCGGGCTGAAGCCCCCCCAAAAATGGTAAAATATAACTATGTTTGATAGAAAAAAATATTAAAAACTATCTCTTAAAGTATTCTTGTTCCTGTAATTACATTTAATAGGACTTCAGGAACCACTTAAACACCATTTCATATTCGAGGTTAATTTCTTTCTGTTTTTTTTTTTCAAATTAATTATCGTTATATATATTTGACGGAAAAAAATCTTTCGGGCTGAAGCCTCCTCCCCTCCCCCCTCCCAAAATTAAATCCTGGATCAGCTTGTGATACATTACACATTTGATTAAATTCTGTGCACTTACTTAAAAAAAATAATTAATATTTTTTTGTCCGTCTACTTTACTATTTATCAGCTTGTTCTTCATGATCTGTTTCAGGGAATGTATCAACTACAGTTGTTTTATGAGTAAATTCTAAATATTTTTGATGGAAATGTTGAGGTATTGTTTATTTAAAATAAAGGTCACCCAAATATTTATGTTTAGCATCAGATATTGGTAAATTATAACAGCTTCGATGGGCTTCCGGTTGATCTTCACAAAGCTTTCGCCTTGCTTGGAATGTATATTAGATTTCATCAGATGATCGAATTTTAATATTCTAAAATTTCGGGAAACCTAGCATTTAAAACAATAGTCACCAATCTACTCGGGGTATAAATAGGTTTCTTTTAAATTAATAGTTCTACGACAGCATGGATGGAATTATTTTTCAATAAGGAAAGACAAGCAAGTACAAAAAAATGTTATTTTTTTTAATGGTATACGATTTTTGTATATTTTATTAGATTTTTATTTCTTCTAACAGAATTATCGCAATAAGACATTTCATTAATTTTGTTTTATTGTTATTTAGTAGTAACAGATATCGTTCGGCGACTTTACATTAAATACTCTTCTACTATATTTTCCACCACACTCCTAAGAAAACACATTTTGAGTTCCACTGTCATGAAATGTAAAATTTGAAATGTCTCCGTGGACATAGTTCAACAACCAAGCCGAAAATATGTGACGTATTTGAAGAAAGAGTTTATTCATGCACCGCGTATCCATGCCCATCCTCAGCAATAAATTTTCACTAGTCTGCCAACTTAAAGTGGCATATGCACGGGCGGATCTACGGGAGGGAAGGAGGCTTTGGGACTGAAGCCCCATTCCCCCAAAATGGTAAAATATAACCATGTTTTATGGAAAAAAAAAATCTCTTAAAGTATTATGATTCGTGTAATTACATTTAAAAGGACTTTAGGAATCACTTAAACACCATTTCATATAGGTAGTTAGTTTCTTTCTTTTTTTTCCTAATTAATTATCGTTATTTTTATTTAAAAAAAAAAAGATTTCGGGCTAAAGCCGCTCCAAAATTAAATCCTGGATCCGCTAGTGTGCATATGCCCACCTTACACGATCAATATCATTTTTTTTTTTTTTTTTGTTCTTCCCTACCTCGCCTATTAGGCTATACGGGATTTTCCCGGGCCGGGGGATGGGGGCGGGGAATTTAAAATCCCCTCCGGCACCGGGACGCGAACTCGTACTTTTTAATCTTCTCAAATCTGTTTATCCGGTTGCCAGGCAACTCGCGGTGCTGTGCACACGCTTCAGCCCATTCGGCCACCCCGCCCCCTTCTTGAAGCAATATCCTTGAATGTGGTGTAAATATTCATTCATTCATTCATGTATGGCACAACATCCCGTTACCGAGACTGGGCCTCCTCTAAGAGCCTCCGCCAGTTGGCTCTGTCTTCTGCTGCAGCTCTCCAGTTCCGCACACCAAGCAGGGTTCTCGCATCATAGGCCACGTTGTCCAACCATCTCGTCCTCGGCCTTCCTACCCGTCTTACGAGGTGCAGCTCCTCCATCATTATTTTTTTTGGTATTTCAAGGGTGCTCATTCTGGCCACATGCCCTGCCCACCTTAGTCTGGCCAGTTTAATATACGTGACTACGTCGATGTCTGCATAGAGAGAACTGAGCTCCCTATTTTTTCTTTTCCTCCAGACATCACCCTCCTTTACTGGACCATAAATCCTTCTGAGGACTCCTCGCTCAAAGACACTCAGCTTCATCTCATCCCCCTTAGTCATCGTCCAAGCCTCTGAGCCATATGTCAAAACAGGCCGAACAAGGGTCTTGTATATGATCAGCTTGGTCTTCTTTGAGAGGTACCTACTTCTTAAGTGTCGGCCAAGTCCAAAGACACATCTATTGGCAGCCGTGATCCTTCTTTGTATTTCTTGAGCCATGTCATTCTTGCTATTAATTTCAGACCCAAGGTATATAAAACTTTTCACTCTCTCAAACTTAAAAGAACCTACCTCAAATGGAGAGTTCAGATCCACCTCACCGCCAACTCTCATATACTTAGTTTTCCTCTCGTTGACTTCTAGACCAAGTGGTCTTGCAGCTGCTTCAAGGCTTATAAACGCTTCTCTGAGAGCCCGTTCAGACCTACCTACTATGTCAATATCATCAGCAAAACCAAGAAGCTGTGTCAGGCGATTGAAGATTATATCTTTGGTCTGAATACCGGAGTCTCTTACAGCTTTCTCCTCTGCCAAATTGAACAATAGACAGGCGAGGGCATCCCCTTGCCTAACCCCACTGCTCACTTTAAACTCTTCGGAGTCGTCAGAACCGACGCGTATTCTGCATCTCGAGCTGTCCATGGTCATCTTGATTAGGCGTACGAGCTTCTGAGGGATGCTTAGCTCCTCCAAGGCACAGTATAGTTGCGTTCTATCAACGC